ACGACAGGCTGAGAGCCATGGGGCTCTTTAGCCTGGAAAAGCACCGGCTCAGGGGTGATCTGATGGCCACCTATAAGTTTATCAGGGGTGACCACCAGGATCTGGGGGAACGTTTGTTCACCAGAATGCCCCAAGGCATAAAGTAGTTTATGATGAGGTCGAACGATTATAAACTCGTGCAAGACCGTTTCAGGCTGGACATAAGGAAGAATTTCGTTACTGTCCGAGCCCCCAAGGTCTGGAACAACCTGCCATCAGAGGTGGGTCAAGCACCTACATTGAACACCTTCAGGAGTATATTGTATGCTTATCTTGCTGGGATCCTATGACCCCAGCTGACTTCCTGCCCTTTGGGCGGGAGGCTGGACTCAATGATCTTCCAAGGTCCCTTCCAGCCCTAATGGCTATGAAATCTATGAAAGTGAGGCAAGAGGTGACAATGATGCACTTCCAGCCTGGGTCCCTGTGCAGGCAGCTTCATAGTTCATGGTGAAGGCAACCCCTTGGGGAAGGGGGAAGTAGGGTTGGCCTAACAAAAAATACTGTAAATGGAGGTGGCTATGCTTGGCAGCTGGCGGTGCATGAAGTCTTGAAAAGGAACCCCAGATCCTTCCAATAGCCTTGAGGCATGGGGAGCAGATGGGTAGTTGAGCTTTCCAGGCAGCTGAGCTAAAGTGACAGCTTTTTAGTCTGACCTGACTTTTGGAAGGGTAGCTTTCATCAAAAGCAACTCACTTAACAGACTGGGCACTGGTGAGAGTGCAGATTTAGGGGACAGTGATGCTTAAACTAACGAATGCAAGGCGGGGGGAACCTGAAAAGCTCTGACCTCACCATCATCTGGACCAGAGGGCTTTGCCAAGTGATGTACCCTCTGATGCCAGAAAGGTCCAGTTGGACCTGCTTTTTGTCTAGTCTGCTTTTTGTTCAGGGCTTTGTCCAGGCAGTGGAATAGACTGCCTAGGGAAGTTGTGGACTCCCCATCACTGGAAGTAGTCGGGAAGAGATTGGCCAGCCACTGGTTGGGAATGATCTAGCCATAGTTATGTCTATTCTACTATGAGAATTTCCCATGGTTCTGGGATTTGGTTGCTTCCTGTCCTACCCCACCCCCCTTTTCTGCTATATATGTTAGGGTGTTTTTAAGCCTCTCCAGAGGCATTGGATGTTGGCTACAGCTAAGGCTGGGGAGATCAACTGTGGTGTGCCAATTTCTCCTGCTAGGAGCAAAGCGCTGCAGGATCTTCCCTTCCACTCAGGGGCAGACCGATCTCCATATTTGGGGTCGGGAAGGAATTTTATCCCATGGTCAGATTGATATGGACTGTGTGGGTCTTTGCTTTTCTCTTCAGCAGGGGGCATGGCCCTCTACCTGGGACCTCTTGAATATATATTGACAACATTTTATAGACACAGGACATTGGCTGTCATGGTTTCCCTGTGGCAGGTTAGGGTGTTAGGCTTGTGTTTTGTCAGGGATGAGGGTAGTTGTATGCAGAGTTTACATTCTGGTTGTATGGGATGATTTAGACAGGGCAAACCATGCAAGTCTAGCATGGTATGTAGCATGGACTTGCATGCTGACTGTTAGGCACACTTCATCTTTTAGTCTGTCTTGTTCCACAGGCATTTGGCCAGTCCTTCCTGCAGCCTGACATACATCTATTTAAGCAGAATCTATTCTACTTGGAGACGCTGAATACCAAGCAGAAGCTTTACCATAAGGTAAGTCCCAATATGTGTGTTGAGTTTAGCAGGTGGAGCGCACTATTCTGGGTCTTACTGTATATGAAATCCTGAGCCACTGCTAAGAAAGCTCTGCTCAGCTAAGCGCAGTTAAGGTCTGGTATCTCATGAACCTGGGAAGACTAGAAATCACTGGTTTCTGCTACTGGAAGATGGTGACTGAGCTTTCTAATAGGTTAAATAATCCTATTTTTTACAAAGGCAGCAACCCCAAGGATTGGCTTCAGAGAAAGGTGGGCAGGTGTGTATAAAGCAGATCTCAACTGACTGTTCTGTGGTGTGTGGGTTCTGGCAGAACTGGGGCTTGGTACTAATAAAGTCAGCAGTCCCTTCCATGTGTTACACTGGTATCGGGTACAGCAGTAGTCCAGCCTGCTTGTGGTGGACATGAGGGGAATCTCCCTTGTGTCTGTAGTTCTTTGGATAAAGAATGCAAGGTCCAAACGATTTGAAGCCCAGTGGGGGTGGGTTTGGGGGGTTTACATGGTAGAAGGTTAAAAATCCCTGTATATGAAAACCATGGTCTGCTGGTTGCCAAGGGTGTTGGACCTTTTAATAGCAAGTCATTCTAATCTGCCAACCTGCCTGCCATCATTTCAACTCTCACACTTTAGCTACTCTACTGAAAGACTAGAACTAGGATAAGGGAACATAGTCTCCTGGTTACCATATAAAAGCCAAGACTCCAGATTTGTGCCACTCATCACAGACAAACTCCCCCATTTGTCTTTGAGTAGGTGGGTGTCACCAAGCTGTTGTGGAGGAAGCAGTTCCTAATCTGCAGGCACTTAAAGCAGATACCTTGGAATCTCTAGGTCAGTAATTCCCAATCCCTGGCACCCTGGGGTGCTATACAATATCACCACCAGTAGGTGTGCAGATACTTGCATGTAATTCACAAGATAAACCCAGAGAGTTCAAATAAGAATCCATAGTGTCAAAAACATCAAACTATTCTGGGGTTTTTGTTCTTTGCAACAGAAAAGTGGTTCTATTTTTTTCATAGTCAAAAAACAAGTGAAAGCTAAGAGCTGCCACTTTCAGAGGGGTGCCCTGAGTCTAAAAAGATTGAGAACCACTGCTATAGGTGCTTTCATAAATGAAAAGCACTGCTGTAGGTATAGCACCTACAGCAGTGCTTTTCATTTCATTTTTTCATTTCATTTCATTTTTTTCATTTAATTTTTTTTGCAACTGTTTAAGTTGGTCTAATAAAAGATATCAGATTCACCCAAAGAACCTTGGCTGCCTATGTCCTTAGACCAACACGGCTACAACCTATACCACTTCATAAGCATCTGGCATGTGGCAGAAGTTAAACTGGCTGGAGTGAGATGGGATTTACTGCTACAGCACTTGAGTAGCTAACATTTAAACTTTCATTAACTTGCAGAGACCTGAAGACCACATTGCATTCAAAAGCTTGTCTAAATTTTATCCCAACCAAGCAGCTGGTTTAATAAACCAAAGAAATCCTTGTCTCACATTAATCTGCAGTCAGTATATAGAGTTAAATGGAGCCAGGGATTAATTTGGCCCCTTGTTTCACTTGTTAGACACAGCATGGCACTAATTCACACTTGGAATGTGTCCTGTACTACCATAAGCTTTAATGGCTACTGTTCAGAAGTAAAAGGATGCATTCTAGAAAAACCGTGATCATTAGCAAAGCAATGGCCAAATGTAGTTCTGCTTACTTGCTCATTGTGAACTTGAATGGCTACTATCTTCTGAGGCTATGCACTGATATAATCCTGTATACTGGCCGTCTGATGCTGCAGTGGAGAGTTGGTAGTCTGTAGAAATATGACCAAGCATTCTTTTCACTCTGCAGAAAATCTTCAGGACAACAATGCTGTTCCAGTTTGTGAATGTGCTGCTTCAGGTCCTGGTCCACAAATCGCATGACCTGTTGCAGGAGGAGATTGGCATTGCCATTTACAACATGGCCTCGGTGGACTTTGATAGCTTCTACTCGGCATTTCTCCCAGAGTTCTTAGCCAGTTGTGATGGCGTGGACTCCAACCAGAAAAACGTTCTGGGAAGGAACTTCAAAATGGACAGGGTAAGGAGCGAGCAATGCCAAAAAAAGGTGTGAGCTTCTGGGTCAGGTAAAAGCATGTTACTGTGCCTGGGGTCTCAGGTTGGTTCTGAGAGGCATTCATAACCTGCTGGAAACTTTGCCACCTGCAAAATCCCTGCCAGAAAGAAAGGTCTCCTCACAATGGTCATTCAAGGTGGGTAGCATTCCTGTTGTCTTCTGCACCTGGAATTAGATGTTCCAAAAGGTCTAGGACATCCCATCAGGCATTTCATCTCTCTGGTAAGCTATGCATGAAACCCATTTGAGTGAATTTCTTCTGTGGAATTGTGCAGCTGGAGATGAGACCAAATCTTTCCAGAGCAAGAACAGTCGAGCTTTACGCACCCAAGAGCTCGGTATAGCTGATGTTCTGTACTGCTTTGCTGCCATCCGTAAATAGTGTAGCTGCCACCTGCTCCATCTCTCTAAATCCTCCTGAATCAGGAATGAAGCAAATGGGGGCCTGTAACCTCTCTAGTCTGCCCATCTCTGAAATTTAAAGATGATGCTACAAGCCATGCTTCTCAACTCCCAGGAGCATGGGTGGTATTTGAGTGCCCCTAATCCAGAAAGATTGTGTAGCAAGGATATAGGAAACCTGGAACTAATCTTGGCTATATTGTTGGTTTCTAAAATAGTCAAATGCAGTTAGAAATAAGAGGCACAAAGATGCAAGCCGCCTGATACTAGGAAATGGAAAGCGCACTGTATGACTTTCCCTGCAAGAGTCAGCACAGGCACTTTGTCCAGCAAGGAGTCATGTGTTGCTAATTGCTTTGCACAGTAAGAACTCAGTGCAGTAAATAAAATACAGGATTTTCAAAGTGTGTTGCAAGGATCCCAGTTCTCTATCTAAACATTAGAGAGACTAGTGCAAGCAGGGAAATGGTTCTTCTCCCACTCTGAGATGTTTGTTTGTTTGTTTGTTTGTTTTGTTTGTTTGTTTGTTTTTACATCTAAAAAGTGGGAGGCAGGGGTTGTGTGAGAGAGGGAATGGCTGTTGCATCAAGCCCTGACACTGGATCCTACTGTGGGGGGAAAAAAGCTCTGAGGTATTTTCTGGGATCTTTTGGAGAACTGATTTAGAGGTGAAAAAGTATGAACACTTGCTCATTGTACTTACTGATCTCTCTGGTAAGCCAGGATCTTGTAGGTACAGCTCCATTATCAATATCCTTGAACTTTTTCCAGGATCTTCCATCGTTCACCCAGAATGTGCACAGACTGGTGAATGACTTGCGCTACTACAGACTCTGCAATGACAGTTTGCCCCCTGGAACTGTGAAGCTATAGTTTCTGCACTGGGCTCCTGGTTTGATCACTGTAATGAATGGATCTGTATTTCTCTTGCCTCCACCACCACCACCACCACCACCACCACCAC